TGACGAAGTACACTGCTGAGGGGAGCAGCGGGCGGGTCAGGAGAGGTCTGCCGCGCCCTGTGGGTCACCGCCAGGGCGGGGATCGAACTCATGCAGAAGTGGCTTCAGCTTCTTAGCGCAGCTTGTAACTGCTGCGCCACCGGGGAGGGCCAGATCGGCAATGGGTCTGGCGCTTTTGCAGGCGCCTGTGACTCTCAGTAAGATTCAGAATCACTGTTCTCATGGCGTTTTTATTCTAGTGAAAGTGACAAAGAGAAGATTAAAAAAAAATGAACAAATTCAAAACAGGATTCTCAGCTTTTTAGGAATGTCTTAAGGGAGATGCCTCTCACCGGGTTATGTCCTTGGACGAGCCATTGCTGGGTAGGAACTGATTTGACTAGTAGAACCAGTGTGTTTCTGAAATTTTGACTCTATGAATTGAAGCTGCCTTCCTGGGGCTTTGGGGCAGGGAGAAAATTTGTAGCTGCAGACCTGGAAATGCCCAAAGCCAATCTAGGTCCTCCTCTTCATATGAAGAGGGAGAAGGCGAAGCAGCCCAGGTAGAGTGGTGGGGGAGGTGTGTCTTTTTTTCTTATTTATAAGATTTATTTATTTATGCATACAGAACTGGGGTACAGGCTACGGGTGGTGAGACGATTCACCAGAGTAGGGAGCAGAACAGGCTAACTGAGGAAGTATACAGCTTAGGGGAGCAGCGGGCGGGCCAGGGGAGGTCTGTTGAGCCCTGTGGGTCACCCGCCAGGCCCGGGATTGAACTTGCACTGAGACGCCTGCCTAGCTTGCAGTGCTGCGCCACCAGGGCGCGCCAAGAGTGGAGGGTTTTTCTGCGAGGAACAGAAGGAAGAATCTCCAGTCCAGTGGGTGGTACTTATACCCAAATCCGTGGTTAGCTGAGACTTTCTGGATTCTACCACACCTCTCACCCTGGGTGTTTTTAACCAGTCTTTATTCTTTTGCCTGGCTCTTCCTGTGCCTACCTCCCCTTGGTCCTCTCACCATTTCTCCTGCTGTGGGTTAGAAAGTCGTCATCCATAGGTCATGTTTTCAAGCCAACAAGATTTTCAATGAAGCCTCTCTTACAGGCGTTTTGATGAATAACCTCAAAGTATCTTTCTTATTACTTTTAGGGTATTACATGAAGACATGAAATAGAAAAAAAAATTAAGTCTTAAAATGTCTGATTTGAGAGTGTTAACCAATTTCCTCCAAATGTCATTAACTTATATATGTAATGTTTAAGGAAAATGGCTAAGAAAGAGTCCCTTTTGAGCAAAGTAGTTAATATGGTAAAGACAGGTATATTTATTTCATAGGACAGCACACTTCACAGGATATGTACAGATTTTGTTTGTATACCACTGACTTTAATACTGTACTTCTATAAAGTATATAGTTATAAATATTGTATGCCACATAAGCAATAAAATTCTTACATATAAACAGCAATCTACTAGAGAGAACCAAGATTTCACAAAGAGATCCTTAGTGTCTAATTTCTGTTCTGTTTTGAACAGATCTGGTAAAAGTTTTACTAATACACAGAATAATGGCTAGTTCTTTGCAGCCTCTCTTTAGCTCTCAGAACTTTGTGCATGTTCAGCAACTTGCCAAATATAACTTTCCTGATAAAGGCCGAGCTGCTGCATGATATGTAGATTGTAGACAGTAGTTTAAATCCGATAGGAAACACTGCTCACAGATCTGTGAGATTCACTCACTAGTGAAGTTTAGAATGAACGACTTTGCTAATACCATATACACTAGTCACAGATGTTAAAGCCATAGTTTCAACAATTCACATTTTGAAGCTTATCGTAATACTGCAGTTTAAAATATACTACTGCTGAAATGATTAGAACCCTCAAAAAGCACAATATAAAACTCACAAGGGTTATTTCTAACAGCAAATACTGGTTGTTAATAGAGAGAGGATTAATTCTATAAATATAATATTTTGATAACATTTGAGCATTTAGAAAAGTGCTTTTTTCCTACTATATTTGCTTCATGTGTTAAGTGCAATGCAGTTTGCTGTGCTTGTACATTAATGTATCCTTAGCTGCGAACTCCATTTTCTGAAACTCCTTTCCCCCCAATGCACATCTTTAAAGGGTAAATGTAGACATAGGAATTTAGGTGGGCCTTTACAACTTTTTATATAAAAGGAATGTGTCTATAAGTTGCAATGGGGAAGGATGGTTTTAACTTAAACTGACAACAAAACAACTATTGCTCAAGGAGTTTTCTGATTGGGATTACTTAATGATATCAAAATACTACATTCTGTAGAAATCCTGTGTACTTCATAAAATTAACAAAAGCAGGAACAGTTGCATATTGGCAGTGCAGGAGATAAAATCCACAGCTAGTCTGAGGTGTAGCCTCTAAAGAGGAAAGCAGTGTGGCGCTGTGCTACTCAGCCCGGGAGGGTGGGCTCACACCAGTAGACCCCCCCCATTCAAAGCACTCCAGGGTGCTGCTTTCCCAGCCAGAGGCGCCAGAGTGAAAGCAGCGGGAGAGAAGGAAAGTGTGGGCGGGACCAAGGGCGCTATGGACCTGAGGGGATGGAGGGAGGGGGGCACGTTTAGCTTTCGTATTTCCCCCTGAACCCCGCTTGTGTCTTGCTGGCAGACCAGTGCTGCTGCGCAAGGCCTGCAGTGTCTGCCTCCCAGACAGTCACCACAACTGCGGGCTTCCAGCCCACAAAGCCCTGGCGAGAAGAGCACACGAGATGCGGGCGGAGACGGGACGCGTGATGCGTGATGCGTGCGTGATGCGTGCGTGATGCGCGTGTTTGAAGGGGCTGTGTGGCGGTGTCGAGAATTACTCAGTTTTGAGAAGAAAATTAACAAATTGTTCAAATTGCATTTACAGCCATCCTTTTGAAATACTGGAAAAAGAACTTTGTTAGAACTTTTAGGAAAAAAACTGGTCTGAGTTACATCCTAGACTTAAAAGTATGCGTTTTACCAATATGTAAGTCCGTATGTAGACACACTGGTTTTCAAAGCAGTGCCTCTCAAAAATCGGTTTCAGTATTACTTTGATAGCTCTTTGGTAAATATTGATAAATACCAATTGTTAACAAGTAGAAAAGGGCTGGCAGTAGTGACAACTAGTTGTTTGGGCTTTTTTGAGATTCTTTAGAGAAGACAGACAAAGAATTTCTGAACAAGGACTATTTTCTAAAGCAGTTTTGAGCACTTTTTATGGCTACTACTCTCTTGTTTATCCAAACAGACACACCGAGAACTCCAGTTAATCATGAGGATTTTCCCTTATTTCCAATATACACATATTCCAACTCTGTACACATTAAATAGTGGTATTTCACGAGGACTTCAGTGCCCTCACAATGACATATTGCACAAAAGGAATAGCAAATGCCCAGCTTTGGGGCTCTACCCCACCCCAATAGAAAAAAGCTCTTTTCCATCGCACAGTGTCATCTTTCTGTGAAGTCTGGTGTGGACGAGGCCTTGGAGGCTGCGGTTGTGAATGGATCGCCTGGCGGGGAGGTGCCAGGGGGGAGGGGAGGAAGAGGTGGTGGTGGTGCCCTTCTTGCTGGTAATGCACAGAAAGAAAAGTCTGTACCTCTGTTCCAGGCATCATCAAAGGTCACGCTGGAGCCAGAAAATGAACCTGACTGACTACCCAGTAAGTGTGCACAAGCTGACTTCGACTTCCCTTTCACAAAGTCTTCTTCTTCGAAGGTCACCCATCCTTTTGGGTTGCTAGTTTTTACTGCAGACTGGGTTTGTAGTTCCAAACTGTCCTTACAGCCAGCAAGTGAAGATGAAGGCTTGCTTTCGTTATGACCAAAAGGCTTCAGAGAAGAGAAAGGACTGTTAGTGTCATCCCTGCAGAAACACGAAGCTGCGTCTGATTCTTGAGGCTGGGCTCGAAATGGGTTTCCGGGCGTGACAGTCCTGTCTGTGAAGGGATTGGTGCTGGTTGCACCAGCAAGAAATGAGTTTGGAGAACCTCGAGTACTTTCCTGGGATTTACTCCGGGCTGGAATGGGAGGCAGTGCAGACATGCAACTCACAGAACTCAAAGTGTTAATGTTGCTTTGTGTTGCAGAAGGCAAATGGACCATTTCCTCTGGGCTTGAGGTCAGCACAGGGGGCACTGGAACAGGTAACGGAACTTTTGATACAGCAAGCAGATTAAATGGCAGGTCTTCAAATGGGTCAATCTTTAGTGGTGATTTCAACTGGCCAGTGGAGATTCCATTTGTTTTCACCTGGCAAAGAAAGAGAGTGCTGAAAATTCAAAAAAGTGATTTACTCTTTCTATGCCTTCCTATCTTCCTCAGTTTGTGGGGGCTAGGGGGGTGAGGTCAAGCATACAAATTTAGAAATAAAAATCAGTTTTTTATAGCTTGTTAACTTCGGTAGTTAAAGTAAAAGAGTTAAAATCTTATTCTTTGTACATACTCTACACTAAATTAATCCCTCACTGCAATTTAAAAGCTCTTCCTCTGAATAGAGCTTATTTTATTCATGCAAGGACTGATGTGATAAAATAGAGAATTGTACAGAATTAGCTAATGAGTTTTGTTCATGCCCAATTCTAATAAATGTTAGCGTGCACTTATGTAAAATCTACATAAACTTCCAACACCCATCTGTGATGTGGTTTCATCATTCATTTCAATCTACTTTCATTTCAAGTTAATGTCACTATAGAAGTTGAACTTTATGAATGGGAATTTGTTAGTTTATTTCTATTCATAATCTGGACAATGCATCTCTTCCTTTCCTGGTTAGAGCAAAGACTTTTCAGAGCATTCTTTGCCTTTTAATGTAAGTTCTCTGTAGAATAAACTGAATAATGTGAAACTGACCCTACTCATCTCATTAAAATATTCAAAAACAGATATGCTTATGAATAACCAAATATAATGACTATTTAAAAGCAGGGGAAAGACCCCATTTTCTAGTTGGTATTTATTTGGTTTCTACTTTAATTCTAAAGCCAAAAAGCTGTGTCCAGAGTGGTGAGTACTGGCAGTTTTCTCTGGCAGCTGGCTGTGAGGAGCTCCAGGTGGGCACTGGAGAGCCTGAGTACAGTGCCCATGCTGCAGCTGGGACGCTCATACGGGAACAGCCTGGGAAAAGCAAGTGAGCTCGTCAGGCACCTCATTGTAATTTGTAAACCTTGACATAATCACTAAACCTGGGTAGATACCCTGGATGTTTATGCCAAATTTAAAGATAAGAAAACCAACCTTTGGGTTGGCAAGGGCAGAAGAGGGAGAATTTTAGCTAAAGATCTGCAATGCAACCAAGTGGAACAAACTGAATTCAGACAGTTGTTAGAATAATGAAATTTTCATAAAATATGCTGAAAAACAGCTGCAGCCCCCAAAATGTAAGTGCACCCTATAAAACAATAATGTGGTGCTGAAGAATACAAAAGCTAAGTGAAACCTTTAGTGGTGTGAATGACTTAAAGAGAGTAATTTTCAAGTATCTGATTGTTTCAGTCACGTGAACACATTTTATAATCGAACAAACAAGTATATTTTTCTTCACTAAACAGTACGATGATACATTTGTACAAAATTAAAGAATAAATATGGTAGATTCTAAACTGCCTTCAGACACATATATGGAAATCTACTTGACTAAATTTATTACAGGCAATATAAAATTAGCTACATTATCATTATCTCTGGATTATAATTAGTATAGCAAGATGAGGGATGTAGCTGGTTGGGTGGGGGGGACCCGATTCTGTTATGAGGGGAGGGACTAAACACACACAGATGAAAGGACAGCACAGCTTAGGTCCTTACCAAGTAAGGGCTATCTACACTTAAATATCTTTGCCTTCATATATTAAAAGCTTTTTTCAAACTAAATTAATGGTCATTTGATAGAAGCAGATCATTTTGTCCAATCAGACTTGAGATTATGGAAGTCACCCCATCCATTCATTATACAGAAATAATTTACAACTGAAACAGGATTTGTGGTAACTTGACATTATAAATGGTGGCATTTTGACAGAGAAGGGTGTTGGAAGGATCTTTAAGTAAGCATGTTACTGACTTTCACCTTTTTAAATGATCAATTCTTCTTTGTCAGTAGAATGCGAGCTACTAATATTATTTGAAAAAATGTTGCCCAAAAGAAAGCTAAGGGGAAAAAAAACAAACCTGAATTTTGATGTAACCATGCGATTGTCAAAACCAAGAACCAACTTGGCATTGACAAAAAGATTTTCATATTCCTAAAACTTACCTTCTTGATGTTACACCTTTTTTAGTTTTGTTAATTTTCATTAAAAAAGCAAAAAAAAAAAAGGTAAAAGCATTAACAAGAACAGCTAAAATGATTCCTAAAAATTCAAAATACTAAGAAAAAGAAAAGATAGGTTTATGATATGATAGGATTTATTAATGTGGACAGGTGATTTTAATAATGGGTGAAAATTTAGATGTATGAAAGGAAAGATTCATACATCTAATGTGCTATGACAGATGAAAAGCACATATAAGATTGAGAAATAATCCAATACCTGTTACCCTGATGGTTGCTCCTGCTTTGAGAAAGGGAACACAGACATCAAAGGAAAGAGTTAGGAGGACAATCTCAGACCACCCGGCAGCCCTGACAATTCCGTCTCCCAAACGCTTCTCGTTCAGTGTGATACAAGGAATCGAAGATACAGCAATACATCAGGTCCCTGCACCAGCCCCAGACAAAATTACCGAAGTGGAGGCTAGACTCGTTTGCCCGAGGCTGATTAACCAGTTCAAAGCTTTGTTATTCCGAAGATAGTACACCTAAAAAGTGTTTGGAGCTCTAAAATGGGTGAAATGCGGGCTGTGTCTTCCTCCCACCGCCCCAACTTAGTATGCAGGAGCCCTCCCCTCACCCTGGTGGCAGGGAGGGATAGGTCCTCTGGGACCCACTGGGTCAGAGAGGCCATGAAGGTGAGGCCCCTGTGATGGAATTATTTTTAATTGCAGTATTCTCAAGAAACAGTTCTGAGCAAATCTTTTCCAATATCTAATAAGTTATTTCATAAATAATAGATTATTTTAAAAATACCAAAACTAATTTAGACAATTTAGAAACAGCATTCTAAAAATACTAAGTTTTATAGTTTCCTGCCTACGAAACAGGAAACTCTGCAGTGTAAGATAATCCTTTCTTGATGAGCTCAGGGCTGCACAAGGGGTTCCGGCACTGGACAGGAGTGTGGGAATGGGGTACACTGAGGCATGTGTCTGTCTGTGCGTGGGGTAATGTGGCAAACAGATCCGGGAAGGAGGTTTTCTGCGTGCTGCCCCTACACTGCCAGCTGTCCCAACATTTTACTGAAATGTATGTAACAGGACTGACTAAAACATTATCCCAACAGAAATGTAACAATCTACCTTGCGTGATTACCTCTGTATTACAAACAATGAATCTGCATTCCATTGTGAGACCACTGTGGCATAACCAAAGCCCAGAGATGCCATGGTCCCCACTCACTAAGGCAAGGTGCTGCTTTGTGTGATACACTAATGAGGGGCCATATTTTCATGGTTTACCTTGGTGGATAAACCAACTGCTGCAAGCTCAACCCATCCAAAGTGACCTAATAACAAGCAAACCTGGAAAACACCAGTGCCAGTACTGCAGCAAAGAACTACTGTCTGCATCAAGAACAAGAGGGGCCTCCCTGGTGGCCTAGGGTTTAAGCTCCAGTGCTCTCACCAGTAAGGCCTGAGTTCCATCGCTGGCTGGCCAGGGAGCTGACCCACATATGGTGCAGCAGACCTCTCCTGTCTCCCCGGCTGCTCCCTCAGCAGTGGATTTCAGTCAATTTGCCTGTCCTGCTCCCCACTGTATCTCTGGTAAATCCTCACCCCCCAGAACCTCTAGCTCACACCCCAACTTTCCTACATTAAAAAAAGGGAGAGAGAGAGAGAAACAAAAGGATTTTCTCTGCTCATGGGAAAATAACCCAGAGTTCAGGCCATGATCTGACTGGCCCCCTCTCCAGAAAGTGGAAATCAAAACTAACTTACTAGCTATGAACAATAGCAAAATTACCCATACTTGTTCATTCTAATTTATCAACTCTCCAAAGTAAATTTTGCATGAAAGCTGTAAGAAAATCACAAACACTTTAAAGGTTAACAAGATAAAACAGCTTGGGCGTCACTTAGAAATTCCTTGAAAACCCTATTTAGGATCATTCTCTGATCTAGATAACAAGATAAATTAAAAAAAAAACCCTCAAACAATCAAACTGCATTTGCTACTTGACGAGTGGAGACATCGATGACACCATTTGCTGGAGTCACATCTCAAGATGCTAGTATTACCAAAGCAAGAGCAATAGAAGATGGCATCTCAACCTTATAAAAGTTAATTATTAAAATATGTTCAAAGACTACACCCAAAGCCTCAAAGCCGATCTTCTGTTGACTTGGGGGACTTACTTGCGGCTGCGATGAAGGTTCTGAAGGCAAGTTGTGGGAGGACCTGCTGCGAGGCGGGGGCTGGGGAGGGGCTTCCAGGTTCGGCTGGGGTGCAGATGGAGGCAGAGGTGCTGCTGTGGGGACCAGGGGTTCCTGCATCTTCTGAACAGGTGAGGGCAGAGAAGGCTGCACGGGAAGGGCAGCCTGAGGCTTCAGTGGTTCAGGAAGAAAAGCCGAACCTAAAAGACAATCGTTTTCAGATATAGGTTTTTTTCTAAAAAAAAAAAAAATTTTTTTCCTTCCATTTGTGAAATGCTGGCGATTCAAGGCTGTTGTTTTGTTCTTTTTTTCCCCCCTCACTCCCTGTAGTTAAAAGAAGGAAGGTGATTCCTATTTGATTAAGCTGTGGAAGGTGAGACAAAAGCTAGGAGGAAAGGAAAAAGTGAAAGGTGGTACCGCAGAGCAGAAGATGTCTCTAACAGTGTCTACCTTTCGGTGCTTCTGACGGTTTGCTTTGGCTTTCAGGAGTCAGTCTTACAGCGGAGGCCCGAGCCTGGCTCTGTGGGGCGCTGATCACACCAGCGCGGGGCGGAATGGTCTACAATGGGAAATGGAACAGTTGAGATATTCACTTACTTCAACAGATAAGATTTTGTGAAACATTGCTGGAGCTTGTCAGCTCATCTCCTCCCTGTTAAGAGTGCCCCTCTCGTCCTCCTAACTATATTCTATTTACAGTCATATGGTCACAAGTTCTCAAACCTTCCTTTTCATTTCTGACTATTCTGTGTCCGGCTCTATGTTAATTAAGCACTGGATAGGCATTTCCATTTCATCTTCAAAATAACCCTCAGAGGTACTGCTTTATTCATGTCTTTTTAAAATTAAGCTGAGACAAGGGAGACACCTTCGCAAGGCCACACAGCTAGAAGCAAGTACAGGATCTAAACTCAGGCCTGAGCAGCTGCACGACTGAGTGTCACCAGTGCAGGGCTTCTCTGGGAAGCTGGGACAGCACTGGAGGGCGGAGGGACAGAGGAAGCTGTATGCTGACCAGCTAAGAGCCTAAGAGAAACCACACCTTGAGTTGTTTCCTTTTTTTAAACACAGAAGTAAAAGCCCTTGAATGACTAACTCAATGAACTAAGAATGAAATATACTAGAAGACTCAGTGAACGGTGTATTTCTGCTAAATTACTGATAATCTGGTTTCTATTTTCTTTTTTTTATTACTTGTTATATCTCAGAACTTTTTTATTTGTGTAAAGAACACAGTAACTATGTGACTAATGATGAGAACATAAATGATAAACACCCAAGGGTCAGGAAAAGTTCCTAATAACACCTTCTGTCCAACTTGAACCCCTGTGGGACATTTTCAGTATCCTGAGTCTATGGCGCCTTCTCCCCAAATCTGTTTTAAACCCTTCTTACTGAAGGATGACTTCATATCCTCTTTAATTACTTAGGTGTTGCCCAAATATATCACTTCTTCAAATACTTAAGATTTTAAGATATTTATTTTAGGACCATAACTACTTAAGCCACACCACTTTTATTCAATAAATGAAGCATATTTAGCTGTTCTTGGAGAGTTATGTTAAAATAATGTCAGAGGTGAAAGATACCTTGGAGATCACCAAGCACAAATCCCTCATTTTAAGCTGAGGAAAACTGAAGCCTTGATAAGTCACGTGATTTCTCCAAGCTAACACACCTGACTAGTAGCAAACTGGGGCCTAGAACCTGGACTCGTGGCTCAGGCTAGGTGTTGCCTACCGGTCTGGCCGCACTGTATCCAGCAGGTCCTGGGCCTGTAAGTCCTGCTTGGGGTGAAGGTTGGCTGCGTCCTGCACAAAGACACCACACCGTAGATTTAGGATATTTTAAAAAGAAAGAAACCACATACTTACATTCCAACTATCTATTCATGGTCCACTTTTAAGATAAAGTAGTTAAATACAAGTGTTTTTACCTATATTATCTTTCCGTGTCGTTCCAGGACTTTTGGGGGCTTTGAGGCAGGAAAAGAAAAAAATTAGTCTGAAGAACACAATAAAGTGATACTGCATAACATGGCTCAGCTATTCTGTTGCATTACCAGCAGAGATGGGGCATGAGATGGGAACAAAACAACTTTGTTTTGGATAATGATGGAGAGTATTATCAGTTCTGACTAAAATACCCCCAAAGGAAGAAAAATCAGAATACTCTCTGGGGACATTTAGGGAGCGTGATACCTCCGGCCCCCAGTTAACTTTAAGGTGACTATCTCCACAGAGCTCTCCGGTGAACCTTCAAAACACCCAGTCAGGTGTGTGGCCACAGGTGCTGCTGCCGCTCCTCAGGCCGCAGCAGACAAGTTGCCGTTTCCAAGTCACACCAGAGGCACCTGGTATTTTAGGCCACATGCTGTGGATACGTGTCATTGTGGATAACGTCAGCTTATAAGCTCTTTGGGATTTCTACAACAAAAAATGATTAGAAGATCGGCACATCGTTCATCTGCCCATGAGAGGGAGTGGACCAAGCCCATTCGAAAGGCAGCAGAGGATACAGAAATGAATTACTTGTGGAGGATAAAGGAGGGGAGGGCACATAAGGCAGCCCTGCAGCCTCGTCCATGTGCAAACAGGCGGTGTGGCCACAGGACACAATCGGCCCTTCCAAGTTAGGGTCATGGTGGATGCTCGCTTAACCAGATTTTGGTCACTTTTATACATAAAAATACTGTTGTCAGAAATTATCCACAGGAATGTTATATTCTTGGATCTCAATAGGATTTCATTCTATTCATTCATCTTTACAACCTAAGAGTTAGTACTGTACATTTCTAAACACTTGACCTATTCTGAAAAGAATTTTGAAGGCATTCTTCATAAAATAACATTGTACAGTGAGTTTCTACCCTAAGTATATATAAAAACAGTGCACAGCTACATAAGCACCTCAGAGAAATTAAATAGTATTAGAAATTATATACAATACAGGATGAAAGGGAAAAATACAAGGCTACAAAGTATATACAAGGAAAGGAGAGGAAGTTTACAGTCTGACTGAGAAGATTTAGATGCTTTAAACATTGGGGCTGGGGGGGTGGGGCTGACATTCTGGAAATAAAATGAGAGAGACACTTTCATGATGCAGAAGTCTTGTTACCTTCCGCCTCTTGCCTAGCTCCCCCGGGACTGGGAGGGCTGCAACACCTTTTCAGAGAAAGAACAGAAGCTGTCCAGTGTTGAGGGCCCATGACACAGAACGAGAGGCGGATGTACACCGCAGTTTCTGCGATGACTGCTGTAAGGTTCTTTCACTGCTTTAAATTTCTTCAAAGATTTCAACACAAATCACAATGACTTCAGATGCCTAGTTCAAAGTGAGTTTCCCTTTTCTTTAAACAGAAAAGTAGATGGGGTGACAATTTGCTTTTTATATCTGAGATTCTAGTGGATGGGAATTTAAAATATATTTAATGAGAGTCTTTGTTTTGTGATCTTCTAATTCCCTACATCTAGTTTAAATCACGAATACATGCTCCAATTTGACAGTTGAAAGGAAAAATAAAATCACAATTTCAATTTCATTTTAAGTTCCTATGGGACTATATTAGTGTCCTGGAAGTTAGTTTTTGATGAATTATTAAAAAAAAATAAAACACCCAAACTCCAAAAGTACTATAATGATTCTCTCTAAGCTACTACCTTAAAGTGTTGGTTTCTAGGGTAAGAAAAATATGCTGCAAGTACTATCAACACAAGAATGAGGAAAAGCAGCAATAATTAAAAATTAAATCAGGTTTGTTTAGTAAACTATCGCATTGCTAACATAACTTTTCTGAAATTCAAAAATTTGTCTTTTACAGCTTATTTTCCTAGTTAAAGGAAGAGATAAAGTGATTTTATCATATAAATACAAGTAAAAGGGGTTTGAAATGGGAAAAATTAATATCTGTAAATCAATGGGAACATCATCTAGCAGTATTTTGCTGAAGCTGTAATGTTCAAAGATTAGCTATCTCTATTGTACAAAGCCATTGAAATCTGCATCCAGATCATTTCAATTTGTAGTAAAACGTCAAGTGGTCAGCAATTTCACGGGACAGCTAGAGGAGACACAGACCAAGTCACGCATGAACAGCACACCATAATGCTACTAAGCCAGGCCTGCAAAAACTCAGCTGTGGAGCTACAGTAGCCATCTCACACTTTTTGAGAACTGGATAAACTTGTCAGATATTGATCTATTTATTTTCTTGATCTATTTACTCAATATTTACAAATCGAGTTTTGTGAGTTTTCTGAATATACTACCTTTTTTTTTCTTTTAAAGATTTATTTATTCATACAGAACTCGGGTACAGGCCAGAGGTGCGGGGGCGGTGAGAGGCTTCACCAGAGACAGAGTGGGGAGCAGATCAATGCAGTACACTGCTGAGGGGAGCAGCAGAAGAGGTGGGTCAGAAGAGGTCTGCGAGCCCTGTGGGTCACCTCCGGGGGCGGGGGGATCGCACTCGTATTGAAGCAGCGGCAACTAGCTTGCAGTGCTGCATCCTAACCCGTTGTGCCATCCGGGAGGGCCCCCAGTACCCCTTTTTAAAAAAGTAATCCATTTGCTAAAAAAAAAAAAAAAGCCCTTATTGGGGGGAAAAATAATTCTTACATTAATAAATGAGATGAAATTGATGATTTTATGATAAAGCCATGCAAAATGAAAGCTGTAGTTCAGATAATTATTATAACTTTAAGTTGCATTTACAGGAAATTTTGCCAACCCACAAGCTACCAGAAAAGGAATGTACTAGAGTTCTAATACAGTCTAGTACAATTAAATACTTGGGAAATGTTGTATATTCAGCAACGCTGAATACCTTCTGAAATCAGCATCATTTCTGGGAATTAACTCTTTGTAACCAAACTGACTATTAAGAAAAAGTGCAGTGATGAATAATTCAACTATGCCCATCTGGGAGACAGAAGGCCTTGTCAGTTCTGTTCACCTACAAAACAGATTAAAAAAAAAAAAAAAAAAAAAAACTGATTTTTAATCTCTTTTAGCAAAATAAAATTGAAATTTGGTACTATTACTATCATGGTGTACAAATGCCAGTCTTTCAAACTGGTATCAACTGAAACCAAAATATCTTTCAGTTACAGGGATCAAACTCCAAAACATCAATGAATCAACACTAACATATCACAAAAATATAAACAGTTACCTCCAAACTCTTTTCTAGCAGGTGCAGGACTCCTAGCCCCTTATCGTTCATGGGAAAATATGCAGCAGGAAGGAAATGACATTAAACAGGAATTGAAACGTCGAAGATTTAATAGAGCTCAGGATGTCAAATGTCATACACATGAGTACCTTGGTACTACTTTTAGAAATCCACGCCTTAAAGCAAATGTTTCTAATGATTTAACAAAACTGTACTTATTTAAAAAGACATCTGGACGATTAAAGAAAATAAGTACCTGTTCTTCGGTAGTAGTTACACATTTTACAGAAATCAGTACAGCTACAGCCAATTAGTAAAATCAAAGCCAGCACTTCTAAGAAGGCAGCTGAGAGAACGTTCCAGAACCTAGCCGGGAAAGTCTCTTTCTGCCTGCCTGTCGCTCCTACTCTGTTCTTTAGAAAAAAGCAGAGGAAGCAGCAGCAACAACAGGAATATGATAAAACCTAGGTGCCAAGGGTTTGGAAACATGCAAATCATTTCTGAATCTAATGACGAAGATTTTTAATGTGGCAGAGACGGACCGGACCGCAGGGCCGGTTACCTGAAGGCGGAGGTGGTCTCTGCGGGGGGGCAGGCCGTGCAGGTGGAGCAACTGGCCGAGGCGGAGGGGGGCGCTTGGGCTCCAAGACCTGGGAGGGGTCTTTCTGCTGCTGTGCTGCCGGCGCGCCATCAACCGGAGAACCTGAGAAAGTTCAGGCAAGAAGATCAGCTTCCTGCGGGCAGCGTAAACACACAGGCAAGGCACTTCTACGAAAAATCCTTTTTGCTCATTCTCTGAATCTGAATGAGTGTGACAGCACACGGTTCTGGCGTCAGCGGCACAAGCAGTTCCACACTCAATTACCTGTGGAGCGGGAGATGATGCATGAGAGCTCATGTGGACTGCGCTGGGGCTGGACACTCATCTACAGAGTGGCCCTAGCAACTAGAGGGCATGAAGTACAGAGAGAAGAAAAGGGTGTCCTTTCTCTATCCCCTCGCTTATCTGAGTTATTTAATGAAGCCCACCCTGTAAAGGCAGTATGGAGAATAGAGATGTTTGTGAGATGGAAGATATTTGCTGAAGATTTTGGACAGTATGGAATGGCGATTGAATCACTTGGTAACAACTTCCAGAGACAAACCAAGACTAACTTTCAGTTAAAAAAATTGTTTTGCCTCTTTTGCTTGATATTAGAATCAGGTAATGTGCAATTATGTATCATTATGTAACAGATTACATATAGCTGAGGCCAAACAGTTATAGGTGTTACAATAATGACAGAAAATCACTAAGTGTCAGACATGGACAAACCTGACCACAGAGAAGGAGTATGAAAGTGTCCCCAGTAGTGACAGTAACGGCAGGCCACTCTCCCACCTCAGGCACACACCCTCTTTTGTAAGCACAGCAAACATGGCACACTTCAGCGCATGCATGTGAAAGTCAAACAAAAATGGCCCTCTAGAGGCACCAGAGATTTGTCCATCTAAAATGAAATGCCATCGGCCGCAGAAGTCACACCAAACTTCCAGTAAGATACACACCTTGCGAAGCTGGGGGCCCAGGGGCTCTTGACGGAGCTCGGCTTGGCCTCACGGGAAGGGAAGGCAGAGGACCCTCTGATATTGTAGGTGACTGGCAGGGACTGGTCCGGGGTGAGGAGCTCGGGGAAGTGCCAAGGCCAGAACTTGAAGATGGCTGGAGATGCTGAGGAAGAATTTCCTCGACTTCAGCACTATAGTCATCCACGTCTCCTAAGGAAACACAAGGTCACCAAAGACACTATCAGTTTAAGTTTCTGAGATTTTTTTCATTAACCTAGTTTTTCCTCATTTGGGGCTGAAATATACAAAGCATACAGGCACATATGAAACCTTTTCATGTGTAAAACTAGAATTAGTACAAATGCGCTGATAAAAAATAATATTATAGTGCTTGCTTTGGCAACACATACACTAAAACAGATCAAATTCCAATTCCAGAACAGTAATCATCCCACTGGAACAAAAGGGCTGTGTCACCAGAATTTAATTCGTGCCCTCTCTTCCCCTGCTGCCATAACCTCCAACCTCCATCCTTCCGGTCACTCGAGCCCAATCATCAGGGAATAAGCAGAGGGCAAGATGTAAGTCCTACTTTCTTTTCAGGTGACATCTACGTCCGTGTGGACAGCCCATCACCAAGTGCCTCGGTCTCTTGATACTGACACTCTCCTCCTCTCCAAACATTCCCCCTCAGAATAGCATGGCCTCCGAAATAATGAGCTCAATCCCCGTCTTCTGACGGCCCCTCCCAGCCTTTAGTTGTCTCCCTCTGTTACTCTCTCTCCTTTGACTTCACCAGGACCCAGACCTCTGGACTCTCTACTTTTAGTCTTGATCAAGTTACTCCTCTGGGCCTGTCCTCAGCCTCTAGGGGTCTCACCTCAGTCCCCCAGCACACTGATGCTCTGTCACCTCTGCACCAAGGCTGCTGCTCCTCTCTGTAACTGCACCTGGGCTGCTGAGTGTTGCTGCCAGAGAGACTGGACCGTTACTGGTGACTGCAGTCAGGGAAAGTCTGTGGTCTACAGCCTCCCCTGAGATCCTAAAGCTGGCACAATTCCACTACTTCCTGGGTGGTGCCCCTCTCCGCACCACCCAGCCCTTCTCAGGAGCTATGTCTTGAACCTTCCCAATTCTCCTAAAATCACGGGTCACCCTACTTCTACAGACACCTTCAACTCTTAAACTTCACCCAGAGAAAAAGTAGGATGGGAACCTCCTCTTCATCGCTGGCGCTGGGCTGGAGTCCGGTCACATGGCAAGACATAAACACACACTGTGAGACCAACGAAGCTCTGCCCCCACACCGCTCTCTCAGTGGCCTGCCCTGCCCAGTGTCATCACTTTCTCCCCTCTGCCAACCCTTGCTATCAGCGCTAAGCATTCTCAAGTCTCGCCCACGTCAAAACCAAATCCCCCGCGTCCCCAGGCTCCCTAGAGTGGCTGCTCTCTTCTCTCTTTGCCCTCCGTCTTAGTGAAGCATCTTCAGAGAGCAGCCTGTAGCGGCTCTCCATTTCACCTTCTAAACACACCCCAATATACCACCATCTGGCTTCCTCACGCCACAGAAATGACTCTCATAAATGTCACTAACAGCTCTCATAAATGTCCTCTGTTACTAAATCCTGAAGACAAGTTGCGGCCCTCATTTCTCTCTGAGAAAAACAGTGGTGATTCCTTCTGTGCTGCCTTCTTTCCTGGATTTCTCTGGCTCTTTGCCATTTCTAGTTCCTTCTTCTCGTTTTCTTTTTAGAACGGACCACTTCTGTTTCTTACGTGTCAGGCCTGCATTTCTCCTTATTGGAGTCCAGGACCAGCTTTCCCCCACCTCCGCATAGTCCCTCTGGTCAAGTTCATGAGACTAGCGGGTTTAGCTGCCACCACAGCTGCCAGTGAACCAGGCTCCTCCCGGCACAGACCCACATACCCACAGCCTAACCTACACCTGAGAGACTCCAAAAGTTCAATATGCTCAAAACCAAATTCACCCTCCAGCCCACACCTGCTCCTTTTCCTGCATGTCTTTTTGTCCGTTACTTCCTCGAGGGCATACCTTCTTAATCAACTCAGACCCTTCCAGCCTCCTCATCCTACACTTTCCTTCCTTCTTCCTGGTTTACTCCTCTCCACCTCTTTAACCAAATTCTTACTTAGCCTTCAATTCCTCAACTTAAATTTCCATTTCTTTGGGATAGTTTTTCAACTTCCAAGTGTAGGTGAGGTAGCCGTCTAATGCCCACAGCTCTGTTTTTACTGCACCTACATTACTAAGCTGTACCGCCTGCTCACTGTGAGAAACGTCCACTGAGCTCTGAGCCCTGAGAGGGCAAGAGTGACACCGGCAATCCCCTGGCATTACCAGATTCTACATTGATGTGTGGACTCAGTACGCAAGTAAAAGAGGAATGTAGAAACTGGAGATAATCCTGTAAGATGTTCAACTATGAAATGTGTTATCCACATGTGTACAAGGGCCACAGTATGATGCACTATAATGACATAATATATAGTGGAAAATATTCTAGACTAGCACAGTCTATATTAGGAAGAAAGTGCATTTCCTAACCATGTTAAAGGAAATTATTACGCACACATAATGTGCTCTAGTTACATGTGAAGTGGTCACACTGATATGGTGGGTAAGCTGCTAATGTATGTCTTTCTAGCCACTTTGAGCATATTTTTTTTAATGGTTTGAAACACATCATTTCAATAAGTAAATGTTTTTGAAACACCCTCACTGACCTTACTTTAATTGCAATGAATGAAGCAAACCACATACTCAAAATGCCAATTTGTGTTTTTAGCACACAATGATATGAACTAACATTAGTGAAGATCTTAACCTTTGCGTAGGAGAATGGGAAATGCATTTAAAGTCTAGGTACAAGCAAAATGAGCAGAGAACAGAGCAAGGCAAAGTATTATCATTGCTGATATATGAGTTACAAGAAGAGAGGGAAAGATAAACTTGGAAACTAAGACTTAATACTGGAAGGATGCTTTCTAGAATGACTGAAACAAATGTGCTCGATGACCGACCTTCCATGTCAAAGTCTGCTGCGACCTCCGCATCTTCCCCAAGGAGGGTGGAGCTTGTGGATGACGGCAGTGGAGCACTGATTTTCTCTAAGCTCATTTCTTCCTCCAGATTTTTGATCCAGTCTGGACTTTTTAAAGTAATAGTTATGGTTCGACCCAGTAACTAGTAGAGTAGAAGAGACACAGAATTGAAAATCACTGGTATGAGAATTAACCCATTTCAAAATGAACTGCCTTAGTAACACTGGGCAACAATACTGGCTTACTTTAACTTAAGTCAACATAACTGTTTTACATATACAGTATTTTTAACAACTTTAAACATTCCAGTTTTCCCTTTAAACACCTTAGACAGTAAGTCTAAGGTCTTCAGCACCGCCCCCACCCCTGCAGAATATACACAGATTCAAGTTTCCCTTTCTGTAGTCAGCATTGACCCTGATCAGATAAAAATTCATTGACATTTCTGACACATAATTTTATACTTGTTTTGATTCTGATCAACAAATTAAATAATTATTCCTACAAAAAACAACTACAGAAGAGACAGGTGAAATCTTTAAAATCTTGTTCCTTTGGACTTTCCGAGCTTAGTATAATGATACTGAAAATTTCAACTGTCGAAGTAGTTTCAGCAGTTCAAATGCCAGAAGAGTACTGTAGAGTAGTTAGGGTCATTTAAAGACTTTAACAAAGGTCAAACATTCTGAAAACAGAACAATTAGTATCTGTGAAACTGGTACTCTCTTTCCTACAAATTTAAGCGGCTTTTAGGCCAAAGTATGACCTAGAACAATCCATACACTATAGCCAAGCAATACTGTTCTGTCAATGCTGTTAAAAGACCATCACAAAGACTTGTCGATGCACAGGACTCCTTGGCCAAAATGCTATAGGCTGCATTAGAAAGCTGCTCGCATTTAAAGTCCACATAACAAAACTGCTTCCTAAAATGGAAGCTTTCTCCCTCACAGATTCAACTTCCTTGACTAGTTTCCCAGTGATACACAACATGTGGGCCTTTCTGGTCTTTCCAAATGCACTGTGCAGCTATGACCAACAAGTGATGCCACCTTGTACCTTTGTGGGTATAGATCTTCCTTGGCTCAAAGAGCTACTAACGCTAGAACTCTGTGAAGGCACAGGAAGGATGGAGAGCTGCAGGCCTGAGTGACGTGGCTGCGCTTAATAGAGATTAATGTTGATACTGAGCCTTGCAGTTAGAGTCCCAAGAAATAATAATACTTTACTTGCTTATCTGACTAGATCAATTCAATTTCAAAACTTGGCAATGAGCTTTATAGGTTTCTACTTTTTAAAGTCAACAACACTCCTTGTGTATTCATCAAAGAACTCCAATCACCACAGGCTAATTTGAGACATACTTCCTCAGGAATGACCACTTGGTGACATCAGAGCCACATGAAGAGAAAGAAATGACAACAAATTCTCAAGAAGATCACACTGTAGGGAGATCCCGCTCAAGCTGTATACTGTTTTCAGATTTCCCTTTGATATGAAGAACTTCTTTTTGATCTATATACACTTTAGAAGATTTTGTGTTGAACAATGGTACTAACAAGAGCCAACAGCCAAGAGTCTTAGAAATATTTTCAAAAGGACAAATTATACATCATTATAAACTTGTCACAAACAGGTGCTTTACAGGATTTTGACAATGTTTTAAGGGCGGGATTGGTGGGTCCTCCCAAGGGACTGTAAACAGGTGACTGGACTGACTTATCAGACTACACTTGAGGGTGAAGAATGAGGCTGAAAAGAAGGGGGGAATACCAAAATAGTGCTTTTGTGCATTTCTGAATTTACTTCTGCATCAGTGTGTAACTGTTACTTTCAGGAAAAACAAATTTATTTATTTAAGGACACTGATATGATGTGACAGAAGCAGCAGTTCAGGGAAATTCTCTCACGGAGTTGCCCAAGGATTTCAGTCATTCTGTCAGTGGTCACATACTTAGGCTTTGTCTAAAAACATTCAGGGAAAAAAAGGCACTTATAAAAAAAAAAGACTTATATAAAAAAACGTTTTATATAAGTAAAACTATGCTAAGATATTGATCAGATTTCCCCCACCAATGACACAAATCATAGCTCAGGAATATTTCCACTAATTAAAAAATTTCTCAAATGACCAGTGGAAAGGATTTGTTGTCACAGGGGAATTATTTTCCCTATGCTTGAAAAAGGCCATGATCCAAGCTACTAAACAAATGCCTAGAAATAATGAACACCTTCTCCCCTTATTTTCTTGTAAAAAGACATTTTCTTCACTTGATACAAATCTTTTCTAATATATAGATGAGCCAGAAAACACCCATTAAAGTTTTTATTATAATAAAATGTCACAAAAATCAAAGTAAGTGGCAAATATGTCTTCTTCTTGACCTACATGAATGGTTAATCTCCATGGAGACAGCAAAATAACTATAAACTGCTCAGGAAGTCAGAAGGCTAGTCTAAATAATAAATGTAATATTAGGTCTTCTATCCTCCTGAACTGGAAATACATTTAGGTAATCTTGCTGAGTATCAACAAAAATAAAATCTTCAGACAGTTTCGGAATGGTTTAGCACAGATGAATGCTGTCTTACCTCTTTACCATTCAGGCTGAGGACGCTCAAGGCAGAGCTCCCCTCCAAAAATGTAACCCACATTTTATCTTCTACAAATCTTCAAGAAAGAGAGAGACAAACAGTAAAAAAACCAGAGTTAATACCTTAAACATAACTAATCCAATGGCCAGTTTATTAACCAGCGCCTAGAGAGGCCAGGAAGTAAAAAAACAAACCATGAAAACAAGAAGGGGAGCGGCGGAGTTGGCAGGGAGCTGGAGGGGCGCTCCTCTAAGTGTTGAAATTCAAATTTCTTTCAAATAAGCACTAAATTAACGCAACAGTCTGGCAGAAGAAACAGGCCTACGGACCTCCATTTGTGAACTCTTCGAATCCATCCTTCATTTCTTTGACAAAGAAAAAAGAACCAGAGGCCAAGCTCAAAGCAACCCTAAAGGAGCGGTCATAGGATTAAAACTCAAGTCTCCTGACTCCAGAGTCCAGGACAGCACAATTTCATGTCTCCACGCCTTCCCTGAAGCTAATTTCTTTTAACCAAAAAAGAACACAGGGGTTATGCTGATGTATGTGTGTGTGCCTGTGTGTGCCTGTGTGTGCCTGTACATCTCTATCCATCAGTCTCCCCGTGAGTGCTGTACTTGCGCATGTATACACGTCACAAGGCCCTAGGGACCTGGGGTTTTGGTACTTGCCTTTATTAATGGACAACCGTTCACTCTCTGGAGATTTCAATGGTCTCTGCTCTGATTCTAAATTTATAATTCTGAAGTAAGAAACCCCCAAAAGGGCAAGTTAAAAAGGATAGTAACACAAGTTTTGAAGGTCACTGATATGCAATGATGAACAAATTACAATATAATGTTATCAGTATTATTTACAAAAATATTTCATGAGCTGAACTACTCCCAAATGTATAAATGAAGCATCAAACTCCTTGAAGATCTGCAAAGGTGACAGGGGAAACCCAGACACACATGCGTACACGCCACAGTGGCCCAGCCCCCGACTCTAGGAGTGGCTCTGAGGCGCGATGGCCAGACAGCAGAGCCAAGTGTTTGGTCCTATCTTTAATCAGCAATGCAACCTTATACGTTTCTAGCTTTAGTAAGAGGTGCTGGTTCTAACTGCACTGATTCATGAGACACTTTTAAAAGGTGTATATTCTTCCAGGTTTCACTCACTAGAGTAAAAGGTTCTTCAATTTTCCTCCCAATATTAGTTCAGTGATGTAAAAATCTGTCCAATCTACATTTCCAGGGCTCCTCTTATTCAAATATAAAGAGGTTTACAGACTTCCACCATTCACTCTTTAATGGTTGTCACGTTCTAGACCAAATAACATCAGCTTCGCCTTACTGGTGAGCAACATCTCCTTGTTCACTTCCATCATCTGCTTGTTACAATACATATCTGAAGGTATACCAACCAGAATATTCCAGCTGTGGAGACAGCCAACATTTTAAATGTTAGAGTAATGCCTCGTTTTGTTTACCAATACTTTTTCTAATGATGAGAAATGTTTTGGGGAAACTCCAAAGTAACACCAGTTTCTCTATAAGCTCAGCTTTTATTAAAAAGTAAAGCTCCTTGGCCCACCCTGGTATGCAGTGGGTTAAAGCACAGAACTGAGAAGCTAAAGCCACTTCCGCATGAGTTCGATTCCCGCCTGCCCCGGAGGTGACCATGGCGTGGCAGATCTCTCCTGACCCGCCTGCTGCTCCCCTCAGCAGTGTACTTCGTCAATCTGCCTGTTCTGTTCCCCACTCTGTCTCTGGTAAAGCCTCTCACCACCCCTGAGCCTCTCGCCAGTACCCCAGTTCTGTATGCACACACACAAAAAAGAATCTTAAAAAGTAAAGCTCCTTTTCCTCTAGTTTTATATACACTTTGGATTCTCTCTGGCCCAGTGCAATCAATAGTTTACATTTACTCATAAGGACACTTATCTGCTACTTTGCCACCCACTCACAGAGTCCACATGGGGCTCCTGGTGGTTTGGCAATTCTTGAGTTTGTCATCTCTAAGTTCGGGTATTTCATTATCTACTTCCTTAGAAATATTTTGTTTTCTTTTAAAGCTTTGGGACAGAGATTTGTCAAAATACCTGAGGGAAGTCTAAGTACATTTTCCCTCTTTGTTCACCTACTCTCTGAATGGACTCTGGGCTGTGTGAGCGCCTCTCACTGTGCAGAGTCCATACCATCTTCGGTCTGGCCTGTTAGGTTCAGGGCCTAGAGAAGCCACTGAACGTATGCTGATCTTCCAACTAGATTAAAGGAATCAAACCTTTGATGTTTTCCTTTGCTCTTTCACAGTACCTTGTATACAGGTATGTCTATCAAACACCTATGAAACACCTAAGTAAGCAGATGAACTGCTCTGAAAGGGTCGTAACAGTACCTCTTCCCTGTGAAGTTCACACACACCCATGTCATTCGAGCTCTCAAAGATGCTGTGCACTTGGAAGAGAACATTTTTTTTTAAAGAGGAATCTGGGTCTTTAGGAGGCAGATGGTTAGGTCAGTGACAGAAACCAAACTGGAATGGATGACTCCTGACTCACTGGCAGAGCTGCTTCCACATTAATTACAAATTAAATGTAGTTAAAATTACTCAAGACAGCAAATTTCTTAAACTGGAGACGGGGGTCACTACATTCTCTGCATTCCGCAGTTTCTCTTCTCACGTGGTTGTCCTAAGGGGTAACAACCAGAATGTGCAGGAAGCCATGGGTGCCTGTCTCCCATCGTTCCTTAAAAAACTGTATTCCTCTATCTTAAAATAAAAGTAACAATCACAGCTTCATTTTGCCATAAAGCTTAGTGACATATTATGTGATGTAGGAAACTTGTAAGAGCGATCCTCAGTGTGTACGTATTTTGTCATCAAATACATTTGATTTTTAAACTTTTAGTAGAAAATTCGGTTTCAAAACCTGTGCATTCTTGGAATAACATTTCTATAGTATGGTTTCCTTATAGTTTCTCATATACATTTCAAACACTACAATGACTTCTAATATTGAAATATTTTACTTACCTTATGAGTATTACTTCACCAAAAGTTGTAAACTGCTGCAGAAGTTCATCAATCAAAGCATCATCAAAAAAATTATGTTCTGGTGAAGAACATTTGATTGAGACTAACACGGTACCGTCTGGTGGCCCCTGAATAGCAATTACTTCTTTATAAATTTTTTGCCTCTCTTCAGCTTCAACTTCAAATATATCTATATCAATCAGGGCAATGACAGGCCTTAAGGCATAAAAGAATACAGAGGTGGTGTTAGAAATGTCTAAAAAGGATGCATTCAGAGTAAATGTGAAGTATCACTAGAGTAACCGAGACACGGGAAACCTGTGGTCTGATGTCTTGAGCTCAGCTCTTCCGTAGTGCAGCAAAGTGCCAGGCGTCCACGTGTAGAGAATTTTGCTTCCATCTTGAAAACTAGCATTTAGGAGATCTAAATCTTCAGCTGCAGTCAGAACACAAGAGAAGCCACATGAGACCGACAGTCTGTGTGAGCAAGGAGCTATCTCCTTCATCATGAGTCTGAGGCTGGCATGCCAGGTCTACCTGCTAATAGGCCAGAATTCTAGACACCTTTAATTATAAAAGGTTGTTTTCTGTAAAGTTATCACTTTATGCTTTACATAGTAAAGAATAGGCTTCAGCTCTGAGATAACTTAAAGGTCTATGACCAACAGAATTTCATAAATAATTTAATAGAGAAGTATTCATTCAAAATAACTGCAAGCCACTTTTGTTCAAGCTAAAAAATTTTTTTTAAGGTTTCAAATTTTCAACCGAAAATGTCATAAAAAATATTTCCTGGCTTTTCTTTGTGTTTTACATTACTGAAAGAATATGAACTGAAAAACTAAATTGGTTTAAGAAGGTTTGAGAAAATTTTAAAAAACCTTTCCTATTTAAATTTTATTCTATTTTTGTAAATTAAATTCTAGATGAATCATATTGAACAGAATAGCCCTCTTCTTATTTCCTTAAAAACTACTTCACCCTAACTCATTTAAATAAGGAAGTACATTCTCCAACCTGATCTATCAAAAGGCCACTTCCTCCTCCTCCACAACACACGGTCTGTCCAGGCAGGGGTGCGGCACTTCTCACTAGTGTCATAGTCGTCAGAAAATAAATCATACTTGTATGTCGGTGCAAAGGTTACTTTTCCCTCTAAAAATCCTCTAAAAATCTAAAACAAACATACACAAAGTAAATTATTAAAAAATGCAAACAGAAAGTTGTTTCCATTCAGGAAGCCATTCTTTACATGTCTACCATGTGCTAGACTCACAGAAATTTGTGTGCTTCTGATGGGTTTTGTTAGCTGGAGGGAACTAAGGTGAAGAAAAAACTAAGACATGGTCTTTCTCATTCCATCTGCTTGACCTTCAATTAAATAAAGTATAAAAATGCAAATAAGGGAATTCCATTAGCCCTTTGAGCTAGAGCTCTGTGTGGGATTTTGGAAGTCATTGAGCCTAAAGTCTTTTTTTTTTTTTTTAAAGATTTTTATTTATTTATGCATACAGAACTGGAGTATAGGCCAGATGTGCAGGGGCGATGAGAGGATTCACCAGAGACAGAGTGGGGAGCAGAACAAGCCAACTGACAAAGTACACTGCTGAGGGAATAGCAGGTAGGCCAGGAGAGGTCTGCTGCACCATGTGCATCACCTCCCTGGCGGGGAATGGAACTCATGCTGAAGTGGCTTTACCTTCTTAGTGCTGTGCTTTAACCCGCTGTGCCACCAGGGGAGGGGTTTGAGCCTAAACTCTTATCTCAAATGAGGAACTGAAGAAGTCTGATGGTGCTCAAAGTGTTAGAATTTAAGACTGATGACCACAAAGGCACAGTATCAACTGGTCTTAATTGCCTCCCAATTTTTTATATTAATTCTCCTAAAACACTGTAATTATACGTTTTAAGAAATAAGTTTCCAAAAGCATATAATAGGAGAAGCACAAAAGATAAAGTAGATTACCACAGGATCTTTAAAGCCAAAAAAAAGTGGCCTTGAAGTCTAAGATTTTAAATTTGCTATTAGTGCAGTAAAGTGCATTTTACTCTTTCACTTGAAAGTCATCTACAATATAAGCCTCAATCCATGCCTAGGTACCTTCCTGAGGCTCACCACACAATAGCCCAAAGGGAAATCAACTCCTGTGCTCATTGTTGCACCACAGCCACACACAGAAACTCCTTATGTGCTCCAAGAGCTGAGTGACCAGGAAGACTGTGTAAGCACAAAGCACAACACTACTCAGCTCTGCAAAGATGAACTCCTGCCATCTGTGACAACATGGCTGGAAATGGAGGAGATCACACTGAGGTAATAAGTTAGAAGGAGAAAGACAAGTACAGAATGTGTCGCTTACATGTGGATATAGAGAAGTCAAACAAAGGCTCAGATAAAGCTGAATAACACTAGAAATTTGACAGTAGAACTGAAGCTACCAGAGAGGGGAGAGAAAGAGAGAAGTGGTGAGAACTAAGTAGGAGGGAGCACAATGTACTATGGTGACGGACTAGGGGTGCTCTGGTGATGGGTTTGGGGAGATCACCTGAAGGGGGAAATCCTATACCTCTAAAACACTAACACTGTTATAAACTAATGTTAACTCAATATAAGAAAAAAAAAAAAAGCTTCAGAAAACAAAGTGTCTTACAGAGTTTTTTCCTTCTAGGAATTATGAGGGTTTTTTCCTTTCCCCTTCAAAGGAAAGGCAATTCTATATGTATTAAACTACAAATATTTATTACTTATATATTAAATATATTTACATTATAAAACGACTCCAAGAGATTAAACAAAAAGGGAGTATTATGATGAAGGAAAGCGTGTTTCTTTCCATTGCAAGTGTCTTCTGAAGTAAATATAGATCTATCTATATATACCTGCCCAGTATTTTTCTGATTGATAAGCTGATCTCCTGCTATAAGAGAATCCCAATTTTGCTGTCTTATGAGTTCTTTAACTTCTTCATTAGGGAGATCGATTCGATAGTTGAAATCACCACACCAAAATACATAGTCATGGGAAAACAGCATCCTTCCCTGGAAGCAAGGAGATGAAATTTTAAATTCAGAACAACCAAAATATTTTAGACAGAATATTGTACAACTATTTTGCTGCTTCAGACTGACCTGCTTCCTGGCCCTGCCCAGTTTATAAACTCATGAAATATTTATCTAGGCAAAAACTGTTGGAGTTTTTAGGAACCATGTTCAATTTACAACACCCTGACCTAGAATTTTAGGGAAATTTAAGCCTCAGAACTTCTCCTTCAAGAACAAGCAGCAAGTGCTTACCATAGGAAAACTCAACTTCCGTGCTATTTCTACGAAATCTTCATTTCTCTCTTTGACCTGTGATTGCCCTGCAGCAAAGTGGCTGCAGACGAAGCAAAGGCTTGTGGTGTGGAACAGCATCCGGATGGCAACTGCTCCCTTGTTTCCAGTTGCCCCTCCCATCCCAGTCTTCACTGTATCAACTGCAACATCCCTTTAAAACAAAAAATTCCAATCAAAGACCTGAAAGTCTAGTAGTCCTAGTAGGAAATCGGGGATGAGCTACTGGTAAACTTGATGTGAGGTACACAGACACTGATTTACGAAGATGTGCACCTGGAATCTATACAACGTCATAAACCAAT